TCATATACCTCCAAAGTCATACCTATTTTTTGTTGTTCATCTGGGTATAACCAGTTCTTGCCAATCTAGGGTGACCTTTATCTTGGTTCTCTTGTTGTTCTTTGTAAACAAATTCAGATTCTTTCATTTCATAGAATGAATGATTTATATTCTTTCTTTTTTTTCTTCCTTTTCTCGGCCCTGCTTGTAAGTATAGATATAAATGAACCTAATATAAAGAAATTTTATTTTATTTGTGATTTGTTCGTTTAATTAACGAATATTAAAATATAATTTGTGATCATTTGTTAAATTTAATGAATGAACAGAAACCAAACATATTCATTTGTTGAATTTACGTTCGTTTACACCTTTACTATTATGAGCCTTACCCTTTCCAGTTTTTACCTTGTCTTGGCAACCAAATGGAACATGAACACGAGTAACGTGTACACATTTAATCACATAAACAAACATCATGGCACATATGTTTGCTTATCCATATTGGTTCCACATTCCAAAATATGGGATAGGAGAGACAGAGAAGGAAGACTTGTTAAACTTGTCTTTCACTTTGTAGTTTCTTTTATCATTTTTTGGTGTTCTGGTGATAATGGATATGGTGGACCACCAAAGTTTTGTATACAAATGGACCTGAAAGATATGAAAAGCCTGATAAAGCTGTTTTTGAAGCCTTAGATCATTAAGTTTTTTTGTTTGTTTGTTTTTGGTGTCAAAAGGATAAGGGGCAATCCCTCAAGTTTATCAGATAAGTATGTCTATGGCTCCATGCCCACATTTGTACTTTGTTTTTTCTTTTAAATGGGAAGGCAAAAATAAGACAATGAGAGCTTCCTGATAATAGGAGTCTTATCATTTAATGGACACCATAAAACTAGAAGCTTGTGGTCTTGTCTTCCGTCTGACATCAATCTATCCCTACCTCTGGACCATTTCTCACAATTTGTGACCCAATTTACGAAGCCTGGGGGCTGGCCATGGCAGGTGATAAAATAGGACATGTAAGCTTATACATCCTGGCCATGTATCACCATTTTTTTCTTTTAAGATTAGAACGACTAAACCAATCAAATTTAAAAGAAATAAATAGGATTGAAAATGACTTCTAACAAAACTTAATAATACATGTATTTATATTTATTTATTTGTATATAAATAAAATATAAAAATTAGCGTATTATATAATTTTATGAATATGTCCAAAATAAAATATATTTTTTAAATTTTATTAAATTTGTATAAAATTTTTATTAAAATTTTAAATTATATTATTTTTAAATTATTTAATATCTAATATCATATTATCATATCATATTTTATATCCGACTACGTCTAAGTAATTCAATTTCAAACCAGTTTTCACTGAAAGAGGAAGCAAACATATGGCAGATTATTAGAACTCTACCCTTTGGAAGTTAAAGCATCAAAACACTTGTCGAGGTTAAAGAAAGAGACAATAAAGAGAGAGGGGAAGGTGCAGCATATTGACAGATGTAGCCTGACGGAAGAATAAGTGACAGCCTGGTAAATGGGACAGCCCCTTCTAAATCATCATTAATTATAAACCCCACAAAAACAAGAACAAAAATGACATGTTCCATCAATCTCTCCCCTTAATCATCCTTCCTTGGACCCCTTCCCTCTTTTTTCTCCTCATTACAGGGGTTAATTGGTGGGAACTTTCTAGATGCTGTTAAAATTTTCTTGTAAAAGTAGTAATTTTTGTCCTCACGATGGACAATGTGGTAGAAAAATTCTAAGTATTCAGCATTGCCACTCAAACATTTGATTCAATAATAAATATATAATTCTTGTTCAAAAAATCAAATTCGAATTCTCTTTCTCCAAATAAAAAAAAAAATTACTGAATTCGCTCCAAGAATGATCCAACTCTTACATACTATATCATGTGCCTCGGCCCCAAAGGTTCATCCTGGTTAACATTTCCTTTGGATATTTGTCAAAATTTTAATCATGTTGATGTTTTATTTGAATGAAGAAGTTAATGTTGAGATGTTATTCATTGTTTTGTACTGTCTACTATGTACTAAATTCAGTTACTTTTTAAGTGAAGAGGATGACATTAACTGAAACCTAACTAAAAGTTTCGATTAATCTGGTTCTGTCTCTTGTTGCAATTGCAGTTGTAACAGTTGGACTTTACAAATTTACCTAACTATTTAAAGTTAGATAGTGATTATATACATTTGTTTTTCACACTTTTTTTACTTTCAAATATGAGTTGGAACTCCCAATTCACTACCAGCTGAAAAATTCTGATTCAAATGACAGGATTTGAAAATTTTTTTAATTACAATTCCGTAATCTAATTTATAAAATTAAAAAATTTCACTGTCAGTATATAAAAATGAACTCTTCCATTGGCAGTGTGTAATCACAATCAGTGGATTGATTTGCTGATATCCAGCTAGATTTAGTCACATAATTTGCTTTGGCAGGTATCAATTACCTACCATTTTGATTCAACTATCCAATCTCATTGGTTGTTGCATAACAACATCTAATAATTAACATTTCCCAAATCTCTGGTGCTAAAAATCTTTTTTTGTTAACTAATTACCAAAGCAAAATCCCTTTGAAAGAAGGCAATTATCCAACTGAGCTGTCCTTAATTCAGCTTAACCATCAACCATATCCATTAACCCATAAAAATACAAGAAAATGAAACAGATGCACCAAACTTGGGTTACAAATTCAGATCTTATTGTTAAAGCTGATCACAACAGATTTGAAATTGTCTTTAACAGCATAATTGTGCAATTGACATAGTTTATGTCAGGGTCATTCAATCAAAATAGATTGAACATATAATCTATTATTATCATGTCAAGTAATGAAATAACTATTTAACATATTATATATATATATATATGTTTTTGCAAAAATAAGGCGTAGTCTGAATAAGAAAAAAGATTGTAAATATTGAGATTCAAATTTTGTAAATCAATTAAACTAAATTTTGAATTATCGAATGTCAATTTTTTTTTAATAAATAGGTATATGTATTTATTATTGAATTAAATGCTCTGGCAAAACGTATTATGTGATTTTGTAGAAAAGCTTTTATAAAACACTCAAGGAATTTAGATTTTTCATCCAAGAATTTGTTATAGAATTGTTTAAGACTTATTGATTGCATGAACTAGTTCATGTGAAACTTGTAGCAGTAAGGCTTTTCAAGCCAAAAGCCAACTGCCACTTGAAGTAGTTTGAACCATCTCCATCAACCATGCCTGATTTTTTATTGACATGCGAGGTTAATAAGGATGTTGTCATGTTTCAAATGATCTCTGAATTTGCTGTATTGTCAAAAAGAAATGAATGCAGCCTATCAAAACAATGGATTGAGACAACATTTTTCTATTTGAAACCAGCAATGTATAGCAAATGCTTTGAAACAAATCTGTAGATCTGTCCAGGAAACAATCACCTTGATTTTTTGCTCAAGTGCCAAAAAAAAGCAGGAAAAAATATTAAAAAAAACAGTTGTGGGATTTACATATGTACCATTGTCTTATTGTGAACTTGAAAAGTTTGCTTTTAATTCTCCTGCCCATATTTTCATGAAAACTTAAAAAAAAACAAGTGCCATTTCAGACCGGATAAAATAAATACACATCATTGCATATTGCACTTGGTTGCCTTCATTTAGTATCCATAACTTGCATTGAATATTATCCAATATTTGTACATAAATGCATTGATCAATTTCAATTAGATCAATCACCATGGCCAAAAGGTAGCAGAAGAGATTTCTTTTATGAGTGTTTTAAGACTTTTGGAATTTTGGAGGACAGCCCTTCATGGAAAAGTTTTCTGTCTTTCAAAAGGGTATCTATCTACATATGAACTCCACTACTTTATAATCTTTATTCTTCCACATATCCCCTAACAGATTTTCCCTTTTTCCTAATAATTTTCTAAAGCAGATGGGATTGCAAAGGTTTTTTATTTGAACATGAGCTTTACATAATTGATATATTCAGTCACCTTTAATAATAACATCCATCAAATCAGGAGTTCGAATATTTATAATTTTTTTTATCCCAAATCGAACCTTTTAAAAAAAAAAAAAAAAAGTTCGTTTGATTCCTCAGCCAAGAAGTTCACTGATGCCAAGCTAGGCTTTAGATTCTCTTCTGAATTTCCCCAGCTCAAAAAAATTTATGCTAAAAAGCAATGAAGAAAAACAAATAAAGTACTAGTAGTTGTTTGCTGTCAGTTGTTGCATTCAGTAACCCATAATGATTAATCCGGTTAGTAAATGATTAGTTCAGTTAATAAAGGGAGAAATTTTTTTCTTTTTAGGTATGATCTTTGTTAGAAGTATTTTAAAAATAAAATATTGAATGTTGACGTGAAATTTTGTGTTTTTAATATAATTTATAAAAAAAAATTAAATCGAGACGAAATTTAATTTAATTAATTTATGCATTTTCAACATCTATAATCTTTTTTTTCCGAACTAAAATATTTTTTGTAAAAAGTATATTCGGACAAAACTTGAGATCCTATGATCGAATTAAAAATAAATTATTACATAGGGTAAACTGCAAAGTCCTGTCAAATTTGGATTCCAGCTCAAAACAAAAATCATTCTCAATCACCAGTTGGACCTAAGAGACCATTTGTCCCCACTTTACCAGCTGTTTACAAGTAAGAATCTATTTTCCCGCTAGTTATGCGATTTAGTGTAACATAATTGTCCTTCTAATCCCCATACCAAAATTTCCAGCTAAATATGAAAGCAACGGGAAGCCTGTCATTTTCATTTTACTGTAGCATTTGGTTGGTTGCCAAGAAAGTGATGAGGAAAATGGATAAAATCTATGGGATCTCACAACTGTTTCTGCAGTTGATATTAACTGCACTTTTTCAGTTTTGATCAATATTCTTCTAACCAGCCAATTTTTTAGCCAAAGTTTCTGAATGAATTGAAAGATCAACCTTTTCTTTTTCTCAAATTTTAAAGCAAAATATCACAGTTGAAAACAGAAGTACACCACTTCATTGCAATTAGTTCTACCATATTGCAAATCAGGAATTCACGTAAGAATTTTCTAAAGAATGAGTTGCAGAAACAATTTGGGAAATGAGATCACAATTGGATAAATTTTCTCTCTTTTTCAGGTTAAAGATTTTACTCAAGCCGAAATTCCTCTCTATGTACAAAGGCCTCTCTTGCTCTCCTGGAGGGCCTGAAGGACCTGAAGGGAATCAGAAAGTGTTGTCTAATGGTAATTAAAGCTCAATTTTCACCTGCCCTACAGCTTTTGAGCCTGCACCAGACAAAAGGTGGATCAAACATTTGATTCTGAATGTGCCAATTCCACACGTAATGCCCGAGTCTTGTTCAATTACGGTTACCTTGATAGCTTTGTGTCTGATTCTGGCCAAATCCCATTTGAACAATGCTCTGGAGATCATCCTCCCAAATTGATGCAACCTGAAAACAATTTGTTCAGTTTCCATTTGAGATTCTGAGCAATATAAAATGTGAATTAACTACTAGATAGACAAGTGGTTTTATTGATTACCTGAGGGCTAGCATCAGTAAAACCATCAATAGGAGGCAGTTGCAGGCCGTGGGTTTTATGCAATGCAGCATTTAGTGGATTCATTGAGAATTGAGTCTCTATATTATTGGATATGCCACTGTTTAGAGGTAGCCCTTGCTGGGGCTGATAACGAAAAGGGAAAGCTGGTGTGGAAGAATCCATTGAAGAAAGGGCATGTGGCAAAGATCCAAGAGATTGAAAAATCTGCAGCATGCAATGGATGCAAAGCTTGTCACTTGAAAATTCAGATGACTTACCATATAAATAGAGAACAATCTCATGGAGATTTAACTTACATCCTTTGACAGAAGGGCTTCCATGTTAATATCCATCCTTGGATTCACCGAAGACAACTTCATAGATAGAAACTGCAGAAAATGCCAGTTAGTACCAAATAATTTTATACAATCAAAACTGAAATCAACATTACAATTAGTAAAAGAGACATTGGAAATTCAGTTTACCTCGACCTGTCGTTGCAAGGACTGCACATAGTTAATAATTTCATCAAGCATAACTGCTTTACCAATCACCTGCAACAAATTTTATTCCCAATTTAGTACAATGGTACTATTTCAATTCTCGCAATTATCTCAATGGTACAAGGTGCAAACTTTATAGTGTTTTTTGCTCACCTTATTGCATCCTGGAACAAGATCCTGAAGAAATTTCATCCTTTCACTTATTTTCTCTCTTCGGACCTGGATCAATACAAGATGACAAAAGATATCCTGATGAATATAAATCTCAGTTACTGTGCAATGAATAACTATAGATCATAGATTGAAGTTTTCTTACTCTTTCAGCAAGACTATGACTATCAGTTGCTTGACCCCTTCTGGCTCTGACATGGATATAGTCCTTTGGCGGCTCTGAGGGCTTGGAATTCTCATTACTTGGCTTCTGATTCCCATCATTTGCTGCTTTAGAATTGCCATTCTGTTCTGTCTTTTCCTTTGCATTCGCAGCTGCTCCATCTTGCTTGCCTCTTTTCGCGGTGGATTCATCATTCTGTGCTGCAACCTGAAATGGATATCCAATATTAGTTTCCTATAGATTTCTCAACAGAATTTGACAATTCAAATAACTCCCAACAATTTGCAAAACAGAATTATATTACCTTGGCTTCAGCAGCCGCTGTAGATGGGGTTTCTTTTGCTTTCCCCCGGGGAATTGATTTCCTTTTCCTGGCATTGGCATGGCTTTGGCTTTTTATGCTTGAATTCCCAAGGGCCCCACCTGGGATCTGTTCAGAAACTGAAGATTCTTCCTTGGAATCACCAAATTCAGCATTCTCTGGCGAAGAAGACCTTGTCAGCATACTGATTTTCTTATCAAAACCAAAATTTCTTTCCTGCTGCGAGTTATTGTTACTTTCAGGAGCATTTGCTTGAGATCCAGTAACCTTAATGGATTGGTGACTTGAAAGCTTAACAGAATCCATTGTAGGAACTAATCTTTGAGAAAATTCAGCCTCAGTCAATCCAAGTCGATTCCTGCTACTACTAAAACAAGAAAATCTAGCAGCCCTCTCGGCAAATCCAGGGTCAGTAGAAAATGGTGCCAGGCTAGGATGATTTGGTAACTGGTTTCCAAGACCCGGTACATTCAAACTTCCTCTGATCTGTGAATCCATCATTGAAAGACTGAGCTTTGGTGGTGAATTCAATGGAGTAGTATAATAGGAAGTGTTAGAACTATGAGTGTTATTGTTAGGTTTAATGAAAGACTGAGGTGAAATGTCACCAGAATTACATATGTTTCCTAATCTTCCAATCAATTCTCTGATCATGACATTATCTCCGGATGCAGGGAGAGCACTTCCAGCATTGGATGCTGCTGGAGAAGACACCATGGAACTCAATGCTGACTTAAAGCGATCGCTCTGATCCATTGAATTATCCCAATTGAGATTGAAAAAACAACTTCCCACTTGTTCTATTGCACAATTCAGCTCATTTGTTTGCATTTCCATCCCTAAACTGCTAGAACTCCAAGTTGGTTGTTCTGCTGCTGTCCTGTCTAGTCCCTCGTGCATAAAAACCATGTCTTTTTCCATGAGAAAGATTATAGAAAATTTTGAAGACCCAGATCAACAATAACAACAAAAACCAAGAATCAAGAAACAAAACCCAGATTTTTGTTGCCAATGAAAAACCAAAGAAAAATTGTAAATTGAGTGGAAAGGGAACTTGTTCATATACAATGATGATGCAATGTTACTCAATTAAGGAAAATGAAAGCAAAGAGAAGAGTGTGTAGGAATTTAGAAAAGCAAAACAAAGCAAAAAAGAAACAAAGAAGCTAAGAAAGAGTGCAAGAGATGAAATGATGGAAAGTGAGTAGCAAGCAAAGATAGATAAAGAAAGAAAATGTCTGTTTGACCTTTTTTTTTTTTAATTTTTAAAAGACTGTAATTTTTTTTCTTTTTTAAAGAATATATAGTAATGAATAATATTAAATGTTAGTTTTACAAAAATCTCATCCTAAAACTGCGCAATGGACGGTGGTAGGAAAGGAACGGATGGAAATGACGGGCCTTAAACGTCAAACCATCAATTTTTTAATATATCAAAGTTTTTGATAGACCTAAATACCAATTTTATTTTTTTTTAAATAAGATTTTTTAGATAAATTGGTTGGTTAATTTTTGAGATGAAGTAAAAATTATGTTTATGTATTAAAATAAAATTAGTGTATTTATTGTTCAAATATTTGAATTAATAATTAATATATATTTCTAATTAGATTTGTTTATAAATTTATTTTTTAATTCGTGAATAGAGCTTTTTTTTATTAAACTTTAGACTTAAATTTTAAATTTTAAATTTGATATAAATTATTATTTAATAAATAAAGATATTTTTTATTTAAATTAATTTTAAAAATACTATGTATTGTTAACATTAGAGGAACTTTCCAAATTCCAAATAAAATAACCTTTTTTTTTTTCTTTTCTATTCTTTTATTATTTATTTTTAAGAAAAAGTTCTTTTTTTCTTATTGTTGGGCACAAAACACAACAAAATGATCAATTATTAATGCACAGAGGAAAAAGGTTGGTCATGGTTTAAAAAAAAGAAAAAAAAAATGGCTGGTCAGATTTATTTTAATCTTATTTAATTTTAGTTAATTCATTACAATTACAATCTGACAGAGAGAGAGAGAGAGAAACAATTTGTATTCTTGTATTTTTGCTTTAAATAAATAGTTGGAGATGTTAAGAATCTCAATTTTTGGGTCTAATGTGAAGAGATGTGCACCATAGCAGATCCAGGATTTTTTTTTTTTTGGTTTTTATTTATTTCATTTTTTCTTTGAAATTTTTTTTTAAGCCATACAAACCATTGAACCTTACTTATTTTAATTTAATATTTTTATATTATATTTTAAGATTTTAGGTGCTAAGCAAACAAAGCTTAATAGTTTTTTATTGATTAAAAGATAAAAAAAATTTTAATAAAAATTTATGTTGTAATAATACATCAATTTATGTGTTATTAATATAATTTTTAAAGTATAATTTGAAATTCTAATTACATTGATTTTTATAAATCTGTAACAAATTTTAAAAAAAAAATTTTTAAATGAAAATGTTTTCAATATTAAATGTATAAAAGATATTTGAGGGGAATTGAAATCTTATAAATAGAAATTTAATATCTATATGTTTATTACCAATGATTATTGTATTTTTAATGTTATGTATGAAGAATTTGTTTTTGTATTTTTCCACTTTTTGAAGTTTAATATTATCATTCTAATTTACAGTACTAATATTGCGGATTTAAATTTTTTTTTTTAAAATGTCATAATAATAATATTATAATTTATTTACTACAATAAATTTATGTGTAAGGGGAAATTTTAAGGTGTAAAGATAAAATCTTTCTGTATTATTTTTTTTTTTTGTTTTTCAAATTTTGGGAATATCCATAAACACTCTAATTCTCTGTTTGGATCTGCCCCTTAATACTAATGACAATGCGATGAAATATATACATATATAGCATCCAATATTTGGTATTGTTTATTACTTGATGGAAAAATTTACTAGAAACAAATTCAAGATTTTTGGTACATAAAATTTAGGGGAGGTGAGACTACTCTATTTTAAAATTAAGATTATAACAGGCTTCAACCAAAACTTAATTAAATTTACAAATTATCTATTAAAGAGAATTGTTAATAACAAAGATTAACTTAGATCTTACAAGCAAAGTATTTAATCATAAACATTTAGTAAATTTAAAATTTAAATCTTAATATTTATTATCGCTTCCTATTTTCTTAAGTTATAGTTTCCTTTATATAAAATAGAATTCAACTTAAATCACCGATCAATATACAAATGACTTTCATAGATGGAGTTGTAAAACTCCAAACCCAAACCATAAATTAACAAAAAAAAAAAAACAGTAATCTAAAAACATGCATGGCAGAAACACATTAATGCTATACATTTTCTACCTATACTTTCTTATTTGGATTTGGGATTGCACTCTCTAACTAGGCTCTATCACAAATTTGGGCTTTAACCTAAATTATTCATTCTATTATTTTTAAGAAGTGATTTTGAATAAAATTATATTTCGACTCCTAGCACTTATAAAATTTTCTTTTAATTTACTTTAGACCTTGGCCTACAGTATTAAAAAGCACTAGGCTCTAGAATATTGTCATAAAAATATTTTCTTCTTAGATATTATTGTATACATATAAGAATTAAGAAGAGTTAGTGTCGCCACCTTAGCTCATAACTTTCTTTTATCTTTCCTTAAAACTATGGTCAAAGCTAATAATGAATGCATTCAAATATTTAATAATTATATGAACCTAAAAGCAAATAAACCTGGCTAGGTAAGATTTAAATTTAATCAAGATCTATCCAAAACCCAAAATAATAATAATAATAATGCAAATATGATAACATGTCACAAACGTGGATAATTAGAATTTTAAAATTTAAATCATGAAATAAAAAAAGTGAGATTTAGGGGACGTTTGAGTGTGGGATAATGAGTCCAATTAAAAATTAATTAGATGTAATGCAGTTAAAAATATTCACACTATTATATATATTTATAAGATAAAAAAATTAATATATGAAAATTATACATATCCCAAATATATCATTGTCTCACATGATTAGAAATTTTGATCATCTATATGATCTGAAATGTAAACTTTTTTCCCTAAAAGTGGAGAATTAGATCATCCCAAATTTTTGTTGAAGGGAAAAAATGTTTTTAAATTTTGTCTAAACATCAATTTTTATATTTATTTATGTGAATTTTAATAAATTTAAAAAAAATTATTTTTTTATAATCTTTCAATTCAAACTCAAATTAATTTAAAAAAAATGTAACTCTTTTAACACTTGACCAAAATAATTTGATAACCAAAAAAAAAAAAATTTTCCTTCAAGCTTTTTCATTCAATTTTGTGTGTCGGCAAATTGCAAATTACACTCGTGTTGAACCAACGTGAGCTTCAATCATTGATGCACACATTCACATCCAATCTTCCTCTGTTTGACACATTCACATGCAATCTTCCTCTGTTTGACCAAATTTCAATACTTTGCGACTCACGTTACCTTCCCTAATAATTAAGAAGGAACACAGCCCAAGTGTACATTTTTTTTTAATGTCACAAAAATAAAATACTTAGTTTAACAACTCTTTTATCATTTATTTATTTTTTTATATTATTTAAATAAATATCTCTTCCAATCAAAGCTTGGGAAGAATCATACATATGACAGGGTCAATGATTAGGTTTAGCTCTTTTCTTTTTTTTTTTTTTTCAATTTACCATTTAGTATTTCAGGAAACAGTTTTGTGAGATATTTTTTGTCAAATTTTTTATGTATAATTAAAAAAAGCTCTAAAGAAACATCAAAATTCAAAATTCAAAATTCGTTGACAAATGTTAACAAATATTTTATTGTATAATTTTTTATGAAATTATTAATATAAAAATTATAATCATATTCAAATATTATATATAAAAAATTAATTATTCAAATTAATAAATCATTGAAAGAATAAATCAGCACTTAATTAAATAAATTCAACATAAAATTAAATGAAATTCATATATGATGAAATTAAAATTTAAAATTTTAAGAGATCAAGACTTCTTTATCACTAAGCCGAAACTTTATTGGCATATGCTATCATGTACTTGAAAAACTAATAATATTATATATTGAAGATAACCTTTCACTCTTGGTAACAGAAGCTTTAATTTGTGCCTAATTTGACTGACCGTCAAGCCCCATGGGCAAGTTGAGTTGAGCAAATTGCAGTTGGCAAAGCCTATGTTAGCCCTTCAAATTGGAAACTACCTAGTAGGTCAGCCCCCACTTTAGAAATTTTTTTCTTGTGGCTAAAACACACTAATAGGATATTTTATATATTAATAGCTTAATTCTAGGTCAAAGCTAGAGATTTCAGTCAAAAAAATTAAAATTTGTATAGTTCCCAATCATTCATGAATCTTTATTTCTTTGTTTTATGAAAATGATTGAAGAGATGCAATGTAATCGGGCAATATAAGGTGATGTATACTTGCATATAATGTAAAAATATTTACAACATGTAAATTTTGGCTGGCAAGTGCTTGATAAATTAATAATATTAAGTTTAGCTAATTATTATATCCTTTTGGTGTAATTCTATTAAATATATCTCTTAATATTATTTAATTGTGCTTTAAAAAGTCCATACATAGACCAAATATTTTTTAAATTCTAATCCAACAACATAATCATTAAAAGTGTTTATGAGTCTGAGTTAGATCGAATTTGGATCGGGTTTATATTGATATTAATAATTTATATATTTATTCAGAATCGGTTTGATCTGAAATTTTAGATTTCAAAATTTTTTTTAAATTCGATCTAAATTAAAAAATAAATTATAAATTTATCCATTAAATTTAATTTATATAATAAAAATAAAAAATATAATTAATTTAATTTAATAAAATTATATTTAATTCACATATATAAAAAATTAAAACTAAAAATTATATATATAAAAGTTAAAAATAAAATAATATAAAATAAGAATTAAGTTTAATAAAATATATAATATATATAAATTAATTTTTATATAATTCACATATATATAAATAAATAAATTATATATATATATAAATTTGAATTAAATCGGGTTGGGTTCAAGTTTTAAATTTTTTGTTCATAACTCGACTCTTAAACGAATTTAAAAATTATGTTCAAACTCATTTAATGAATTTTTAATTTTTTATTCAAGTTGTGTCAAAACTTGAATAGATCTTTGGATTTGAGCAGCTACTTTGACCATTGAACAAAACTAGTAATCATAATCTCATTTAAATTTTATTATCGTAGGTCTA